ATTAATAAAGTAGAATGGATATAACACCATCTTATGATATTGTAATTTTATTATTTATTTTTTTAAAACATTACCATTTCTTAATTATTTTTAATATATTAGATATTTTATTACTTGATTTTATTTCATCAGCAATGGACTTTACAGTTAAACTTTTTAGTAAGGCAATTTTTAATTGTCATTGATTTTTGGTCTAATCTCTTGAAATTGTACCTTCTATTTTAATTTTTTCTAATAAATGTTAGAGATTATAAAAATAAGCGATAAGTTGAAATTTTAATCTAATTGACATGTCAACTCTTATTATTTTTAGTTTTTATTTCATTTTTTAGCTAAATAACAAAAACACATAAATAAGATTTGACATTTTTACCCCTTTCGTGTAAAAATCGTTAAGAGTAGAAATACAACAAGTTTATTTTCATTTTCAAATCAAAATTATTAATTAATAAATTTAGGCAAATTATTTTAGCAAGTAAAGTCACGCAATATATAACTATATATTATGAAATATTTCAAAATTTATTAGAAATATGATAATGTATAATTTAAAATATACAAATTTATAACGAGTTGTCTCTAAACAACGGATTAATATAATAATGCATGTTGTTTTGCAAAGGTTTTGTATTAGCATGATTCTCATTAACCTAATTACAATTAAATTATAAACATGTTGTTCTCTGCAAATTGTATAAGACCGGACACAAAATATTTATACGAACGCATTTTGAATATTGTTCACTATCGACTTTCATATTCAAACCATAAACTAAAGCCATGTCTTTCTTCATAGTATAGAACTAAACATTGATTAATTTGAATGAAAAAAAAATTAAAACATATGAATGAAATTATCTTTGTAAGATAAAAGATATATAATGATAATAAATAAATATTATAGTTTATATATAGAAAAATTAGAGTGTAAGTCATAGATAAATTTGTCTATGTAGTTGCGGTTCAGAATTATTATGTTATGTAATCAAGATGTGGTTTAGTTGTATTTTCAATCTATCAACTTATAAGTTATGTATTGTTCTTCATATGTTGCAACATGTGGTGAATAACACTCATGGTCACATGTGTGTGATATGATTTGTATTAGATTTAAGAAAAGAATGCTCTATGGTGTTATGTGCTAATGAATATTTGAGTTTAATGTATGACTATCTCTTAGTTATATGCTTACTAAATAAGTTTTATTACCTTATTACTTAATTATTTTATAAATCAATTATTCATAAACGATAAACATAAAGACACAGTGCATGATTTAAATAAAGATGTTGAAATCATTCTAATTTGTAGATAATTATAAAAGAATAAGCAAAAAAGGCCATATAATGAATAATTTGTGAGTTGCATGTTACACGTTTTCAAAAACTCTTTAAAGACAACATTGGTGGTGGTAGTGTGTGATTCTTTATTTTATTTGTCATAGATTAGTATCTTAAGGCCCTTTTTGCTTTTTACTCTCGATATTGCAACATACAATTGATCATGATTAAAGACACTCCTAGGCAAATACAATTCGACATAGTCTAATGACTGACCTTGTGATTTGTTAATTGTCATAGCATAAGACACAATTATTGGAAACTGCCTTCTTGTTAGCTTAAAAAGCCACGACATGTGTGTAGGAGTGATATCCATCCTTGGAATGTAAATTGTACAACTGATGTTTTTTTCGGACATAATCTTTTCTTCAATCAGATGGTATGTCAATCTTGAAATAATAAGTCTTGTACCGTTGCATAATCCTTCGGATTGATCAATATTTCTTAAAAGCATTATCGGTGTGCCAACTTTTAATTTAATTATGTGATGTGGAAGACCAGATGTTGTAAGTGTATTCAAAAATTCAGAAGTCAATACATGATTCATTGGCATCAACATCCATTCTGTCAATGGAATTAGAACTTAATTACTCCTTTTCATCTCCTATATATGTATGTCAAAAACATCAATACAGTATATAAAATGTATGTATAATATGGATTGATTTATAAAGTTTGAAAATGTAAATTCAATTACCTGGAATAATATCTAACGCATACCGATTGATAACATTGATTGTTTCCAATGTTCCAGCCAAAATTGCTCTACACTAAAGGAATTCAGGGTTTTTATAGTTTTGGAGAAAGTTAGGATACATTGATTGAACAATGGCTTTTAGGAGATCGTCGTAATCTGTGATTAACATATCCTTTGGTATGTCAATATCTGAATAGCCATCATTCGGCTTAGCAATTTTTCATCTCAAACCTGTAATATCCAATTTGAAAGTTGTTCTAATTCATAAGCACTTGAAGGGATGGTGGATTGCTGAAGACGCATGTTCTTTGTAAGTCTAAGAACTGTGCAATAATCTCATATGTATGAAGAATTAATAGTTGCATGAATGATATCAGAACGACTTCCCTTTGGTATAATAGGAAGTATTTGTCAAAAATCGCCGCCAAGAACAACAACTTTATCACCAAATATCGTCTTAGAATTCTTTGTTCCTGACATGATGTCCTTAAGTGTTTTATCCAAAGCTTTGAAACAATACTTACTCGCCATTGGAGCTTCGTCCCAAATAATCAACTTGGATAACTTCAACAGTTCAGCACGATCAGTATTCTTATGCTATACCTGATGAAGAAACTGTCAAGAAAATTTGTTTTGATATAATACCATAAGAGAGAGAAAAGAAGTAAGATGAAAATCTCATATATTGATTGTGATTGAAAGAGTACAAATGCATGGTATATAAAGCCTTAGATCTAACTAACTGTAACAAACTGAACTAACTGTAACAAACTGTACAGCTGGCATATAGCTGTAACAGTTGCATAACTACTACTCTCTATTAGTCCCCCTTAGAAGCTGAGGGTGTGTTTAATAAACTAAGTTTTGCCAAAACAGAGGCATCGTGTACCTGTAGTAGCAAACAGAGGCATCGTGTCCACTTTTGCGACAGATTTGACACTGAGTTTTGCCAAAACGACCGCCGTGACGACCAAAACGACCGCCACCACCCCCTGAACGACCTCCTCTGTTGTAACCACTGCTTTCTGCGTGAGCATTAACATGACTAGTACCAGTTGGAAAGGAGTCAGAAGCTTGCAAAACAGAGTCAGCCGGAGAAGAAGATTCAGACGGCGGAACCTGCGTTAGATTGACAGAAGCAGGTTCAGTGAGAATCGCTTTTCTGTGTTTCTCCAATCGAGATTCATGAGCAAGAAGACTGGATTCAAGATCCTCCAACGTACTGAGATCTTCCTTACTATTGACAGCAGCAACAATCGAATCATACTCCTCAGGAAGCACATCCAGCACAATCTCAATTAGGTTACGCATCGGAACAGGATCTCCAACTGAAATCAACGATTCATTGATTTCGCGAACTCGCGCCATGAACGCTTCAATATTGAGATTACCTTTGGAAAGACGGCGAAGTTCAGATCGTAGCTGACGAGCCTTCGTCGTGAGCTGCACGGCGAAGTAGCGGTGAACTTCCGTCCAAACCTGCCACGCGTGAGTACAATCCACAAGTTTGGGAAGAAGCGAGTCAGAAATTGTGGAGAGAAGCCACGTGCAGACAAGAGCATCCTGTTGCTCCCAATCAAGATACTCATCGATGACTTCGCTAAGATTCGGATCAGAAGTCACCGGCGAACGCTGCGGAATCACCGGAACCGTGACAAAGCGTTGAAGCTTGTGGCCACGCACAACTCCATCGATTTGCTGCTTCCACTGTTTGAAATTTTTATCATCAAGCTTAACAGAGAGCTTGACGTGAGCGGAAGGAAAAGCGCCGTCGCTGCGAAACGGTGACGCCATGAATGAAGATTACTGGATCAGGAAGAAGAAGCTCTGATACCATGATATAATACCATAAGAGAGAGAAAAGAAGTAAGATGAAAATCTCATATATTGATTGTGATTGAAAGAGTACAAATGCATGGTATATAAAGCCTTAGATCTAACTAACTGTAACAAACTGAACTAACTGTAACAAACTGTACAGCTGGCATATAGCTGTAACAGTTGCATAACTACTACTCTCTATTATGTTTTCTCGATTTTCTGTATGATGTTAAAGTCCTCCAGATATATGTTTTTCCTGTTCCACCATATCCGTATAGAAAAAATACACCGCCTCTTTCGTTATTGACAACACCAACAATACTGTTAAATACAGCTTTCTGTTCATCTATAATAAATCCAAGTATTAGTACTAATCAGTAAAGAATCATTATTGTTTTTTTAAGCATTGATTGGATATGTGTAAAACAACCTATACCATATAAATAAGGTACTGTTGTTTGATTTTCTGCCATTCCAAATAATTTTTAGAAAGCAAACATATTAATGTGGTGAGGCTGTGAGATATATGTTAAATGCATTAGTTCGAATCATAATAAATATTATACTGAAACGAAACAAATATGTGCAATATATAATATATTCATATAATAGGATCCATTTTAATAGTTAAGACTATAGTTTATAACAGAGCATGATATTGAATAATACATCCTGAAATATTACAAAAATATAATATAGTTATACATTACAATGATAATTCAACTGTACCTGTAAGATTCTGGTATAAATTATTGAATTCTACTATCAATGTATTGAAAAAATAATCTTTCAACTGTCGATTTTCTACCATGTATATAAAACAATACATCGATCAATGTATTGTTTTATCTCATCGATCTGTCTTTGTGCAGCTGGAATTGGATCATCACTTTGAACTATGGCAGCAGTGATTCTATCGTATCCTTTGTTGATGTACTTGAACAAATATTTTATTGAAGTACTTTGATTGCACCATTCCATATTGATATGAGCTTGAAACTTACGTAACAATCATGTATTGTATGGTACAACATGACGGTTATCCAACTGAATTCCATTTTTTAACACGGAGTGACCACTGTCTCTTCTTCTATATACCGGGAAGCCGTCATGATCCATAATTGTTTGAGGACAAAATTCTTTTAGAAAATACTTGGAACATTTACGCCCCTCATACACGGCGCTGATTTGTTACCAACATCGCATGGCCCATGTATCATATGGGACTTAACCAAGTTATATAATTCAGTGTCAGTTTCTCCATCAGGAATTTCAGCAGAAATTATCCTATCAATATCAGCTGGATTCGGATATATGTTGGATGGGTGTAGAAAAATTATTATGTGGGCATGAGGCAACCCCCTATTTTGAAACTCAAAGGTATACATATCTGTTAAAAAACACAAAATACTGCAAGTTAACTAACGTGACAGTGAATCAGATTCTGAAAACAATTAAGAAATGGAAATAATATGTATGCCGTAATAAAATGTATATAAAATACACTTACATGCAAGAACCTTTCCCATCACGCCTTTCTTGGTCAAGTCGCACAATAACTCACTGAACTTCATTATAAAAACTCTAGAAATAGTGTCAGGACGATTAGCTGGTTTCAAATTCATCTTTCCAAGATAACGTTGAATCTCGGGCTATTTGGGATTACATGTAAATGTAGTAAATAGATATGGAAAACCAACATAACTGCATATTGCCATTTCGTCAAAATATAGTTGATTGATATATCTACGGCTACCAACATATGAAGAAGGCAAGACGACCCTCTTCCCAGTGCTTGAACCTTCAATCTGACGGTCTGAGTTCAATTCACTTAAATTGTGGTACTTTAGCAACCCTTAGTTTTGATTGATTTTTTTAGCCGCCTAAGTCTCTCAGATTCCATCATGGTAAAACCATCTACCAAAAACTGTTGGAAAAGCCTTCGGAATTTCAACAATGTCGGAGGTTCGTTATGTCTGGTTTGGATTCAAAATGCCATCCATTCTCTGATTATAAGTTTGTTTCTTTTAGTCGCTTCTTCCCATGGAGTATCATTAAACTGCAAATCAGAATTTATGGTTTCTTGGTTGTCATGTGATACTGAACTTTTATCTCGATGCTTCACATTTGGCCTATAGCCATCTTTACCGTATGGAAAAAGTAATGGATATTGATATCCTAAATAAGATGTATGATACTCATCTATTCGTTGAAGATCACCTATCTGTTTGTGCCTGATGATATCCCTTTTTTCTGTTGTATCAACATCCCCGACAATCAAAGCAGCAATTTCAGATATAGTCGATTGATTATATATCCTTCCATCACTTTTTCGGTTTGAAATAAGTTTCAGTTTTAAATCAGAGACATTATTTTGGGCCATAATATCCCTTGCCATTCGGAATGATTGAGCATGAACGTTGTGTTCGTACAACATTTGAGACAATTTTGAAACAATATGAACATTTACCCCAATCTTTGACTTACTGTTGAAAATTTTAACCAAATTGTTACAAAAAATTTGATGTTGTTTACAATATATTTAAATGAAAGCAAATATATTATTGTAGTCGTTTACAATGATAAATGCATAAATAAATGCATAAATATAGCTTTCTGTTACGACGTAGCTTATTCCATTAATTCTATTATGGATTTCATTCTCTGCATCATAAATATAGAGTTGTGCAAATTTGGGATTTTGACTTGGAATTGGCAACATGCTGCCGATTCTGTGGCAAGACTGACCTTGAATACTAAAAGTTGGAGGACCTCTGTCATTATTAAAATGGTTATCCATTTTCCCATCTGGAGATGTAAACGCAAACATCATGGTGTACCTTCTAATGTTTTGTTGAAAATATCTTAAATCCGCCGTTTCACATCCAAATAAAAGATCTTGCAATACCTTTGATGGCATCTTTATCAAAAGAAGTTGAAACTTTCCATTTCCATAACACAGTGAAAATTCAGGAATTATTCTATTGCAATTCTGTTCTCTTCTTTCAAGATACCACATATTTGCACCGCATTGTTGACGGTCTACAATTGCGTCTCCTATGTCATAGTAACCTATATAACAAAATGATAACAAATAATGAAAAAAAACTCAAGCATTCCAGTAAATACGATCTGAGTTATTATTATAAGTCCATAATACTTCTATAAAAATACCTGTCACAGAAGAACTTGCAATTGTAAAATCCGTTGGATTATTATCAACTTCATCACAGGATTCACTATCTGACTCAGTACCATAACTTGTTTGAAATGATTTTTTGTGCCTAAGCACGTTCGTCCTATTGACTCTTGTTGCTGCAACTTTCACTTTGTTGATTCTATGTATAAAAACGACATGCTCTTCAGCTTCATTAAGATCCATTGTACAGTATATTGTATGACGCATGTAGTTGGGTTACACAAATACTGATATGTTCATGTTTTATGCTACCATTTGCACATGAAGAAGGGATATTTCATTATAAGTTATAATTACTTAACTTGGAAATACAATCTATGTCATTAACTTTAGATGCAAAAGCATTAAAGTTCTGATTGTTATGTTCACGCAATCTTTAAATGAAAATTGCAGCCATTATATCTCTTATTAACATTATATCTTTTATTCACTTTCCATCGGGAAATAGAATATGATTTATTACAGCATATTCCATATTCACAAAAAACCATATCATGCATTGAAGGAGAAGTATATTTATAAATAAATAATCAAAATTTCTTTAAAATATATTATTTTTAATATTTATAAATATAAAACATTATTATTATATAAAGAATATATATTTTTAACTTAAAAAATTATTATATTTTATATTTTAGTATGATTCAAGATATATCTTATTTCGGTGTAGTATAGAAATATTAAAAAAAAAAAAAACACACACACACACACATTCATATATATATATATATATATATATATATATATATATATATATATATATATATATATATATATATATATATATATATATATATATATATATATATATATATATATATATATTATAAATGTATTAATAGATATCAATAAACAATAATCAACAATACAATAATGGACATAAAAATATATTAGATAACTAAACATACAATATAGATAAAATTAAATATATAAAAAATATAATTTCCATGTTGTTATTAATAAATAATCAAAAAATTTTAAAATATATTATTTTTAATATTTACAAATATAGAACTTTATTTTTATATAAAGAATGTTTTTTTTCTGAACTTTAAGCAAATTTTATATTTTATAAAAATTCTAACGCCTATTCAAAATATTAATTGAATATGAGTACTGAATAAACCAAATATATATATATTAAAATAAATATTATTTTATTTTATTTGAATAAAAAGTAATAAAATTTGCTTAGAATTCAATAAACTATTATAATTTAAAATAAAATTTGTTATTAATAAATATTTAAAATTTCATTAAAATCTACTATTTTTAGTATTTATAAATATTAAAAATTATTTTTAAATAAATGATTGTTTTTTTTAATTTTGACCAAAATTTTACTATTTTTTAACTAACAAACTTCTTTATTGTATATTTTAGTATGATTCAAGATATATCTTATTTCGGTGTAACAACAGAATAATTAAATATAAATAAATATAAATTATATATAAATTTAAAAATATGTATAAACATTAATATTTTTAAGTTTACTATAAATATATAAATATTATATATATATATATATATATATATATATATATATATATATATATATATATATATATATATATATATATATATATATATATATATATATATATATATATATATATATATATATATATATATATAAACACACACAAATGAATATAAATGTATATTAATATACTATAAATGTATTAATGGATATAAATAAACAATAATTAATAATATAATAATGGACATAAAAATATATTAGATAACTGGACATATAATATACATATATAATTAAATATAAATAAATATAATTTTTATGTTGTTATTGTCATACCCTAAATTTGCCCGCCATTTTTTTTTGTAATTATTTTTGTATTTTTTTATTTCGCATATTTTATTTAATTTCATGCCGTTTAGACACGTGTCCACCCCCGATTGGGCGCTTTTCAAATCTCGACTATTTTGCCCAATAGGAGCGTGACACATGGCAAAAGGGCATTTTTGTAAATTTTAATTCCATGTTTATTTTTCTCATTTCCTTGCAAATATTACCTTTATGTTCATATTTTTATTTTATCATTTATTTAATTTAATTAGATTTTTATTATATTTTTTAGATTTAAAATAGTTATTTATTTTTCTTTTAGAATATATTTTATTTTAATAGTTTTTAAATAGTTTTTTTTTTTATAAGTTGTTTAGAGTTGTATATTAAATAAGTTTTTATTGATATTAGGATTTATTTGTAAATAATTTTTGTTTAATAGATTTTTAGAATTAATTAGAGTTATTTAAGGTTATTAATTTATTCAACTATTTATTATTTTATTAGATTATTTAGTTTAATTAAAATAGATTATTTAATTAGGATTAATTGTTATTAATTATTATTCGTCTTTAGTTTGGAATATCATTTTGTTTAATTTAGTTAGATTAGATTAACTAGGATTAATTAGGAATAGTTTATGTTTATTATTAATTTTGGTTATTTAATTAGGATTTTATTTATTAGCTTTTAATCAATTTTAATTGGTTTCTATTTTAATTATCGTAAAACCAGTCTTTCTTTCATCATCAGTTTTTTTTCTCACTAATCATCATTATCATTAATCAGCCATCATCTAATCATTCATTAAACCGCTGCCATGTGTCTGTATATAAACCCTCCACTCACTATTCATCATCTCTCACATTTTGCAACCCTAGCCTCCAAACCCTAACCAGCTGTCTCCTTCCTCCTTCATCAGTTCATCACCATGAAACCTCACCAACAGCATCAATCGAAACTTCCAGCCATCAAACCTTCTCCTATCTCCATTAAACCATTCTTCACTTCAGAAAATAACCATAGCCATCTTCAAAATCAAAATCCTAACCTTCGTTTAGCCTTCTACGCCACTCGGGTTATTTACCGTTATGCTAGTTCCCGGTCGGTGTAACAAACTCAGCCGAAGCTCTTTCACAACTCTCGGTTTTCCCCGCCGCAGATACGTTCGCTACCGCCATCTAAGGGGATAATCAGATAAGGTTGATTTCCATTTTATGCCAAGTCCCAAAGGCCACCGGAGTCACCAAACGGAGAATCATTGGAAGCAAAAGTTAGATGAAAGATCTACGTCTTTTCACGGTGACAACGCCATGCCTTCCGTCACAAACCCTCCGTCCAAAACACGAATCCTTCCGTGAACCATAACCCCCAGACCTCCCATCAATCTCTAAAAACCAAAATCACTAACAACCGTAAACCTCGCCGTAAAACCAATACGAATCCCAGAAATAAACCTTAAATCTCTCGACCCCTGTTCTTCGTTCAAACTTCATTCAACCATCGCGAAAATCCAGAAGAACATAACCGTCAAAATCACCAGTGCGAAGCACATTTCCAGCAACGAACTTCGTCTTGCTTTGAACCGCAACACTAACATCTTCTCCACAACCTTA